GCATGAGGTGCCCCACTCCAGTCCCCCTGCATGAACTGCTGTACCCCCAAAGCTGTCAGTCAGGTGTTCGTCTGGTTTGGCTCCTTGACTCTTCCTTTCCTGCTACCCCCTGGAGCTCAGCCCCTTTGTTCTTCTGCTCTGCTTTTGGGGCTGGCTGACAAGGGTAGGAGATAACTGAGTTTCTCCTGCAGCTGGATAAAGGGTCTTGACCACAGCAAGCAGGAGACGGATGTTCATTTTAACTCCTTGACTGGGGAGGGCAATTTCAACTGGAGGTTCATCTTCCGCTTCAACTATCTCCCAACCGAGAAGGAGATCACCTACAAGAAGAAGGACTCTGTCTTCTCTGTGGAGGAATCAGAGTTTCGGGAACCAGCTGTTCTGGTCCTCCAGGTCTGGGATTACGACAGGATTTCAGCTAATGACTTTCTAGGTATGGTGTGACCTGCTGGAATTGGGGTCACCTGTCCCTCACCTTGCTCTGGAGTATTACAGCATTTCTCCCAGGGCCCAGTTCTCTGAGAAGGGACACAAGGAGCATCAGATCAAGCTCCATCTCAGCAGTCACCTAGGCTGGTTTTTCCCATGTGAGCTATAGGCAGAGCCTGGAGAGACGCACCTCTCCTACACAGGCATGTTGAGCTTGCATGCTTGTCCCAGGGCCTTGGTGTCCTTTTTCAGGGCCTGTCATGCCACAGGACTTCCAGCTTCTGCTTCCTCACAACCTTTCTGATAAACTTGTTCATTTTCCCTGCTTTCACTTAGATCTGCAGATCCCAAAGACTTGGCCAAAGAGCAGCTTTCCCAGGAGCTTACATTGTGGGCAGGGATTGGTGACCTTTGTTGAAACCATTTGCACTTAAGTTGTGACATCCCATCACTGGGGACTTGGAGCTCCCCAGCTGCTCTGGTACTTCCCAGTAACCAGACCTGCTGAATTGGGCGTGCAGCAGGGCCTGGTGACAAAGCTGGGCTGGTGGGTGATTCCACCCACACTACGCTAGCACAAAGGTTGCTGCTTCTCTCCTGCTTCTGCTGCCATCTCCAGGTTCGTAGCACTCCATTCAGTTGTCCCTCCCTTCTTCAAACTTTGGCCTTCCCATTATAAAGCAGCCCTTTTACCCTGCTGTCTCTTGTGTAGGATAAAACTCTCTTTATTCATCAACCTTCCATGGTGTATTGAAAGGGCTTTATCTCCATGAGGCACTTCCAATGGTGGTTGGTTCAGCCATGCTGCTCAGGCACTGAAGAAAGTGTTAAGACAGCAGTCCCAGTGATTCCTGGCCTGTACAACCTCAGGAACTTCTAGGTAGGAAGGGCCTTCTGCAGTCTTTATTGCAACCTCCTGCTCTAAGCAGGGCTAGATGCAATGTAGTTCAGGTTGCTCAGGGCCTTGTCTTGGTGAGTTTTGAGTATGTCCAAGGGTGGAGTTCCCAGCACCCTTCTGGGCTCCTTTTCCTGGCTGCACCATTCTCATAATTCTCAATTTTTTTTACTTGCAGCAACCTGTGTCCATTGCCTTATGTGCTTTCATCATCTACTTCTGAGAAGAGTCTAGCTTCATCTGCTCTATAGCTTCCTTTAAGGTGTGAGAGATGCAGTAAGATCTCTCCCTTGACCTCTCTTCTCTGGGGTGAACACGTATGGGTCTCTCAACCCGTCCTGCTATGGCACATACTCTAGCCTTGACCATCTCAGCCACTGGACTCTCTCTAGTTAGTTCACACCTTTCTTGTGTTGGGGACCCAAAATTGGACACTGCATCCAGACGCAGTCTCACCAGACTTGAGCAGAGAACACCCACATCCCTTGGTTGCTGGCTATGCTTTTGCCAATACAGACCAGTATGTGAAAAGACTGATTTGTTGCAAGGTCTCAGTGCCAAAGTGGGACAGGAGCTCCTTCCAAGGAGAGGAGGGGCACAAGGCCGAGGAGGGAAATGAACTGAGGCTGTTTCAGATGTAAGACAAACTTGAAACCTTTAAAGAGCTTCCGAGTTTTTATGATTTTTTTTATTGACAGTTGCAGGAATGAGAGGGGAAGAGATGCTTGGACATGTGAGGATGGCAGGGTGGGACATGGTAAAGGAGTGAAAATAACCCACTATACCACACAAACCAAACTGGCCACATCAGAGATGAGACAAGACCTGTGGCTTCTGCTTCTCAGTCTCTAACTCTTGGGCTGGTCCTCTGTTATGTTGAGCTTCAGGTTCTCCACCTGTAAATGTGCAGGACTCTGCTGTATCATTGCAGCAGATGGGACTTACTCATGGTGGTGGGAGCGTGGCTGAGACAGAAAGCCAAATGGTGTATGGGGCTGACCTCAGGATTTCACCGCGAGCCCTCCTCTTCACTGTGCCTGCAGGCTCCATCGAGCTGAAGCTGCATGACATGGTGCGGGCAGCCAAGAGCTCAGAGCATTGCACCATCAAGATGGCGAAGGAGAATGCAACACCTCGCTTCTCCATCTTCCGAAACAAGCGCATGAGGGGCTGGTGGCCCTTCATCAAACTCAAAGATCAAGAAGATGAGAAGAGAGAGGAGAGAGAGGACAAGCAGAAGAAGAAGAAAAAGAAGTGGAGTAGCTCAGTCAAACCAGAGGATGTGGAGTTCACAGACCCCAGTGGGAACAAGTACCTCTTGACGGTAAGGCAAGGTGCTGGCACAGGTGAGCAGAGAGCCCATGTTTTGCCTCTGCCTTGACATGGCAACCTGTCCTGCATGCACATAACAGAGGCAGCAATGACCCAGCTGTCCAGGACTTTGTGCAGGGTCCTGGAGACTTGCCCCATCTGCTGCAAATCCAGCACCTCATCTACCCAGACGTGCCAGCTGCAGTGGCATGCAGGGGATGTGCAACTTCATGTCTTCCTCTGAGCTTCCCACAGAGCAGTGCTCAGTGAGGGGAGAAAAGCAAGAGGCACATGTCTCCCCATCAACCGGACAGGACAGCAACAAAAGCTTGTCCTAGGGTCTCTGCCTACCCCAGACAGGCAGGTGCCAACTGTCCCAGGGCAGACTCACTGCTTATGGTCCTGCTAGTGGGTCATTTTTTGTCCCTAAGGGTGAGTTTTGCTCAGTACCAGTGTGGGACAAATCCAGATAGCTGGGGAGCTCATTACAATACAGTGCCTTGTCTGCAAAATGGTTTCTGGCCAGACCCCAGTTTCTGCTGGCTGCAGAGTGAGAGACTCTGTAGCTAATGCCTGGAGAGAAAAGTTAATTGCTCTGAGCATCTGTAAGTGGAACTGAGAGAAAAATCCCCAGTCCTATGCTGTGGTTTAACCCAACAGGCAGCTGAACACCACACAGCCGCTTGCTCACTTCTCCCCCCACCCCTGCCCCCAGTGGAATGGGGAGACAATCGGGGGAAAAAAAAGGTAAAACTCATGGGCTGAGATAAAGACAGCTTAATAAAACAGAGGGTAAAAAAAGTAATAATAATGATAATAGAATATACAGAATATACAAACCAAGTGATGTTCAATGCAATTGCTCACCAGCCGCAACATGTGGATCTGTGGCTCAGACATGTTCCCCCTCCAGGGTAAGGTGGAAGCAGAGTTCCAGCTGCTGACTGTGGAGGACGCTGAGAAAAATCCGGTTGGTTTGGGCCGAAAAGAGCCTGAACCACTGGAAAAGCCCAAGTAAGTATCTGTGTTATCACCTTTAACATGGAGGGACAGTGCCATGTTTTCAGCAGCTGTTTGCATGGGGACAGGGAGCATCTGCTTGTCAGGAAGCTGAGTGCAATCAGTGAGGCCCTGGGCAGTGGGGTCTGCAGGGCTGGGGCTGCCAGGGCTTCCCAGAGCTCGAGTGGGTCCAGCAGGACTTGGGGCTGAAGCATCTGGGCCAGGGCTGATCTCAGTGAGGTACTCCAGGCAGCTATGCCCTAACGTTGCTTGTACAAAAAAGGGCAGCTCTGGGTTAACTGTGTGAGCACACCCTTTAGCCACATGGGTACAGAAGAGCTCTGTGGGGGCAGTCCTGAGGCTCAGGTCCTGTTGTCTCCAGCGATTTCACAGGCACTGTAGTTAGTGCAGCCCCTAGGGTGATCCTGACTGGAAGCAGCAGGAAGAGCTGGCGACCCCTGGGAGTGGTAGGCAACCAAAGCAGAGGGGCCTCCATGCTGCTCTGTGGACTGAACCTGTGCTTATCTATTCCTCCCTTCCTGTTCCAGCCGGCCAAAAACTTCTTTCAACTGGTTTGTGAATCCCATGAAGACCTTTGTGTTCTTTATCTGGAAGCGGTACAAGAAATACATCATTGTGCTGTTCATTGTCGCTGTTCTGACTGTCTTCCTGGTTCTTTTGATCTACACCATGCCTGGATACATCAGCGAGAAGATCGTCAATGGATAAATGCTCTCCAGCACAGGACTACTCAAAGACAGGGGTGATTATTGCAGGAATCGAGACTGAACCAGAAAGTTTAAGGAAATCCTTCAGGTGCAGAAGCAACCTGCAGAGTGAGACACCTGCAGAAATGACCTCTCTTTGGGGAGTCAAATTTCATGTTAAGTACGCATGAGATGCTAAGAAACCAAGTAACCAACCTACTAAATAAGGCAAACTCCTTGAAGGACAGTTACAGCCTTGGGGAAGAAATTGTTCTTTGTGGGACTAGGGTGGAAGGATGGGAAAATGGGGTCTGCTGAGGCTGTTGCCACAGACATGGCATGTGATAAATGACCCAGTCCCAAATAGGGTTTCAATCAAAATTAACAATTTATTAAACGAATAAAGGCAAGCAAACAGCGCTGGGTGCACCGGGAGCCTCTGCTCTACCAAGACGCACACCATACAGTTCTTGTTTCTGGTTTATATATCCCCCAGCAATAGGCGGGTCTTAAACTCCTTTTGTTTTGGTCAGTACCAGAACCGGTTTAACCGGTTCTGCTGAGGCGCCCGGCAGGGGACACGGCCAGCCCCCCTCCCCCTGTGAGGAGGCGGCTGGGAGGGGTGCAAGGGAAGAACTACATCCATATTAACACGAATCAGATGGACATATATAACATGGCAGCTGGAAACAGCTCTTGCCATTGAGAGTGATTCTGGCAGAGATGGAGACATATAGAGCCATCCATGCCCCAGCTTGACAACACTTGGCACTTCCCAGGCCTTTGCCTGAAGAGTTCAAAACACATTGTATGGGGGAAAGGCAGGTCTGGTGTAGGGTCCTGGTGGAGGTAGAACCTGGAAGACCTTTGAAGGGGGGTCCCCAGGGGGAAGGATGACAGAGCCAAGCTAGTCATGAGCTTCCTGTTTTGCCAAGAGCACAAGAACAGCTCTTGGAATTGGAGTTGGCTCTGGAGATGGTAGCACTCCTCAGGACACAGACTTTCTGGCTGCTGCTCCTTACAAGCCGCTTAACAGCTTTTCCTGCATGTGCTGGGTTGGATTCAGGCTTGCTTCAAACTTCATTTTGGCTTTTAATTTCCACAGGAGTAAAAGCTCTTTGCCTGCTCTCTCTGATGCTGCTTGTGTTTTGTAGCTGCATTCTGGAGCCAAGGGCCAGCCTGTTTCAGGCAATCCTCATGGATGTGCCTTCGCCCTTCCTCCCAGATAACACAGCGCTGGGACATTGGCATGGGGTCATCAGTGTGAATCTGTATGGTGGTGATGGGCTGATGTAAATTAAATGAGACTGTTCTCAGCATGGTCTCTGGTGCCCCAGGGTTCCTGTCTTCTGCACAGACAAGCCCTGACATGATCTAATCTCAAGTGGAGGTGCTTCACCTTGAGTTCTGACAGGACAGATTCCTTCTGAGGGGTCTCATTCTGATGCAGAAGATGATGCTCAGAGGGACCATTGCATTTCCAAATAAATTAACTAACAGTAGGGTTTTATAGTGAAGATGGCTGCCTGATTGTCTTTTGGATGGGACAGGAATAGAGTACATTTTGGGGAGAAAAACTAGCTGGGCAGAACCAGGCAGGCAGGTAAGGAGCAGTTAAGGACTCTGGCTGGTCCTGAAGCTGAGTCTGAGTGTGGGGCAGACATGGTGCTCCCCCAGGGGAACCAGAGTTCAGCTGCTGGGTGGGAGCCCCAGAATGGCAAAGGGGGAGCCCTCTTTTCCCCCAGGGAGAGCCCTCTCTCACCCCTCTTGGGCTGCAGAGGGAGCGAAACAGGCTGCAAAGGGCTCAGGTCATGTAGCACCTCTGTGGGGCTAGAGTGGGGACCTGGGGTGTGACAGTGCTGCTCCCAGTGCTGCATCACCCCCAGCTTTCTGGAGGGCTTGTCATGTGGGATGTTGCCTTTGCAAACAGTGCCTGGTGCACCCCAGCAGTGACTAGTGCATCCCAGCACACCCAGTGCGTATCCCTAGACAGCTTCTTGGCTCTTGCAGCCATGCTCAGCTATGTTTTCCACTGCACCACCAGGCTGGGACTCCCTGTCACTCAAAGTGTGTCTGACTCAGCCTTTCTCAAAATATTTCAGCTTACAATTGCAGGATTTGTAGCCATGCTGCTGTGTGCCTGGGCATGCGGTGTCAGTGTGTGCACACTGTGTCTGGGGGTGTCTGTTTGGGGTGTGGGTGTGCAAGATGAGGGGCTCCCTCCTGCCTCACTGTTGGCAGCTGCGTGACCCCAGACCTCTGCCCCAGCCCCAACGCCACCGCAGCTCCCGCCAGCAGTTCCCACCAGCAGTTCCCCTTCCTGGCTCCACCTCGCCGCAGCACCATGGCGGCCCTCATCTCGGTGTGCGACTTCGTGCTGCAGACGCAGGAGGACCTCAGTTCACCCACCACCTCTGCCTTTGCCAGCCACATGGGCCGCTGCAAGGCCACTGCCAACAGCCTGGAGGAGGTGAGCAGGGGGCCAGAGGGGTGCACCCCAAGGGGTTGGGCGGGCCATCCCCATTGTGGTCCTGCAGGATCTGCACCCGGTTCAGGCATTGCCATATTGTTTGTCACCATGAGTTGAGAGTGGTGCGAGCATCTCTGGATGTTTGCAAAACACTCAAAGCAAAGATTTGGTAAAGGCTTGTGACAGGTCGTGGTGGCCAGGGGACAAGTGTCAGTTGTTGGGGACAGAACCCTTTGACCAAACAAGTATCAAACTAAAAGCAAACCAAAAAAATTAAAGGAAGTTCTGGGGGGTGGCAGGATGGTTTCCTCACTTGTTCAGTGTTAAGCTGTGGGATATGCTGATGTGGGATGTTTGGAAGCCAAATGCATGAGTGGTTCCAAAAATTCACAGAGCTGGAGTGAGACCTGGCTGCTGAGTGCAGCATCCAATGCAAAACTTATTTGGGCCAAATGCCTTTGTTTTCTGACTGATGGCAAAAGCCAGAAGACCCTGACAGGCATCATCAAGTGTGGTGCGGGAGGGGAAGGGGTTCCTGCATGCTGCTGGCACAAGAGGGAGCGAGCTGTAGAGCTCGATGCCTGGGGAAGACCATGAGTGAGGGCAAGATCAGCTCAGTGGAGGGTCCAGGCTTCCCACTGAGCGCATGCCACAGCTCACCTGGACCCACCTAGGGACTTAGCTGAAAACTACAGCCAGTATACTGTAACCATCATGCTGGCTTGTTCCTGGGCAAACCAAAGTCCTGACCCCCCCCTCTGTGGAAAATATCCATGAGATGTTGCCACTGTGATGGGGCTCTCCATATGGTGGCCCAGAGGGCTCCAAGCCTCTTGGTGCCTCCTCTTGATAGGTCTGGTAAATGTGCTGGGAGCAACCAAACCACGCCACCACCACGCCAGCTCTCTCACTATTTTGTAGTTTCAGCAGATGAGGGGATGGTGCGCAGGACTTTATCAGGGCCTGTCTGTGGACTGTGACTGCTGCACTGCCCTGAAGTTCCCCAGCGCCTGCAGGCTTGGAGCAGATGGGGAGCTGTGCTCCCGTAGATCATTTTGTCACTGGTGGTCATGGGGGTTTTTTTCTTCTCAGGCCTCTGGAGGCCAGGATTTGTTCAGGAGCCTCTAGGCGTGGGGCAATTTCCTTGTCTTGCTTAATTTTCAACTGTTACTCTATCACTTGCACCCCAAGCAAAGCTAAAACTTCAGTCCTTTAAAACAGAGTTGCTGTATCAGGAAGCTGTGGTTAGACAGAAACACTGCTGAACTCGTTCATGTCTGCAGAGCTCCTGGCTTGGGACTTACATGTCAAAGTGGACCTAAAACTTGGGATGTGCTCCCACTGCTGTGTGGCACCAACCACCAGTGCAGTCTGCAGGGGATTTGCTGCAGTGAAAGCAGGGAGTGGTGGCATGAGCTGTACTGGCCAGACAGCAGCATTTGTGTGAGCCGGGAGACATGGGGAGATGCTTTCATTTTTGGGTGCAGATCAGGGCTGGACTGAGCAGATAGCAAGGAGAAATTCCAACATCACGGGGTATCCCCAGTTGCTCTTACTTGGGTGTTGGTGTGGGCAGGAGTTGCCTGTCCTAGAGGAGGATCCTCTCTGCTTGCATCAGCACTGGCCTCTGCTTTGCTTCCTCCCTGAGCCCAACATGCTATCGCTGTGCAGCCAGGTGAGACTGACTGGACGCTCACCTGAGACTTAATCCTTTCTGTCCTGTGCAGTAGCTCAGCTGTCACCTCTGTGTGCTTTCACTGGGAGGAAAACCCCAGTGCTGGCAAAGGGCAAGTGAGAGCCAGCAGCTGGGAGATGAAGAAGAAACTGACATGGAAAAAGAAATGAGTTGCAATATTTTAGCTGTGACATAATGAACTACTGGTGTGCATGGCCAAGAGATTAAGAGAATGCTTGGTCTCCATCTTTAAATGCAGCTTGGATGCCTTTCTGGAGACAGCTGAGTCCCATACAGGGTATAGGCTCATGCAAGGTTGTCTTATGGGTGCTAATGCCGTGTCTATGCAGACATCAGACAACATGTACAGACAGCTGCTCTCAATCTGTGTTTTTCTGTGCTCTTGAAAACTAGTGAAAAGGGAGAAGTATGCTGTGACCCCAGCACCCTGGAAATCACAGTCAAGGATGGAAACAGGTCTGGAAAAGCTGGAGCCACAGGGTCCTTATGCTCCTTGGTCTCACCTCTGAAAGGCAGAAATGCTGGTGCTGGTGACTTCTGCAGTGGTTCAGCCAGCAGCTTTTATCAATGGTGTGGGGAGCTTTGTACAGCAAAACGTCTTAGTGCATGCAAAGAGCCATCAGCAGGCACCTGCTTGTAATGGAGAGCAGCACCAGTGTGGGGTAAAGCAGTAAACACAGCAAGAGGCTGTCCTTGAGCAGCAAGAGCCTTGGCACAGTGTGCCCTGAGCCTGGTAGCCGTGTGGGCAGCAGAGGGAAGGAGTGCTGAACTGCAGGGGGAGGACATCAGCCATTTTTTCCACCACTGGAGGAAGGTCCCCAAAGGGGAAGTCACGCAGCTCAGCGGAGTACAGAACCGGATCTGTGCCTGCAAGGCAAATGACTGCAGGTAAAAGTACAGGCAGGGAAGGGAGCTTGAAGTTTCCTGTGTCAAGTGCCAGGTATGTAATTTCCTGCCTTGTGGCCAGCAGCTGTACTCATACACACTTCATGATCCTTGGAAGGAGTGCTGCCTCTTGCAGCTGGGTTTGCTGGATGGGAGGAGCCCTGGGGAGGTGGAGGTGCCTGACGGTAATGGCCTCTGGGATGCCACGGAGCAGTCTCACCCTGGTGCTGCTCCTTCGAAGCAGGGAAGCCTCTGGGCCTGTGAGCATCAGCCCAGCAGGCAGGGAATGGTCCCAAAGGTGGGGATGGGTGACTTGTGGACTGAGGTTACACCTTCAGGGAGGGGATTGTCAGGAGAAAGGAAGAGGAAGGCCACAGATGTGGGAGGTTTGAGCATCTATGTGTGGAGAGCTGAATTTCTGGTAAAAGATTGAAGTAAAAACGTGACTGGCATCACAAGGGACCTGGACAGGCTCCAGGGACATTTCAGGAAGGAGGTAGCCATCATGGTCAAGGTGGGTCCCAGAAGTAGAGGGAAGAGAGGTTCTGGAGGCCACTAGGAGGTTGGAGATTAGGGTCTCAGTGGCAGCAGGCTCCAAATTGCTCCTTCCCAGTGCCATGTACGAGGGCAGACAGGGAAGGAAAGAGGTTGAGTCTGACTGTGTGGCTAAAAGTCTGCTGTAGGGTTGAGAGACAGCTGGAACTGGGAAAGCTGCACCTGTGGAGCATCTGCAAGGGAGATGGGCTTTACCTAAGCTAAAAGGGCTTCACCTGAAGAAGGGTGAAGGGATGCCTAAGGTTAGTGAGATGAATCCCACATGCAATGGCTCAGACAGCTGCAGAGAGCTGTGTCCCAGGAGGGGACTGTGCCTGCCTTGCAGCAGCACTCACAGTAACCATGCAGTTGTGAGGGGGGACGTGTTAGTCCTGGATTAACCTAAAGTCATTTTCTGAACATGGGGGAGGGAGTATGAGTTACTCCAGCAGCTTTGCCAAAGGACAATGGTCAGAAGCTGAAGCTTCTGGTGCCATATCCCACCACTGCCTTTCTGACCTTGGCTCATGCCAAGCACACTGCTTAGTGTGAGCATAGTCCTGCTGGCCTAGAGGTCTTACATTAATTGCCCCAGGAATCTCTATTTGAGAGCTTGGCTGGAAAACCTCAGTTCCAAATTGGGCTGCACAAGAAGGTACAGGCACTAAGAGTCATGGGTGGCAGCTCTTCCCTGAGGAGCAGAAAGCCTGGCAATTCTTATCTTGGGTTGTAAGTCCATAATTCAAGTTCCCAACATCCCTGCTGCACTAAACTCTGGAAACATGCAGGCAGGCAAGTTTCTAGCACTATTGCTCCCTGGGTACCTGAATGTTTATGCTGACATTCGTGCATGGCACAGTCTTGACTGTGCTGGCCCAAACAAAGCTTGACTCACATCCTCCTCTACCACATGGGTTCAGCTGCGTGGCTTGGCTCATGCAGTGCACAACAGAGGACAAGGCCAGTGGTGGTACTGCTCCCCTGGGTACCCGCCCACCCACTCAGCTGTTAAATAGCCTTAGCTGTAGCATTCAAGTCCACCCTGAGCTGTTATTTGCATTCTCAAGTTGCTATAAAACTGTTTGCTCCCACAAATCAGTGTTTATGGATCTTAAAAACCTGTGCCTTGTCTTTGAGCTCTGGCACTGTCAGGACAACACTCAGAGTGAAACCCTGTCACTCCCTGCAGGGCCAGCCTAATGTGGGAACTATCAGGGCTCACTTCTGTCACACCTGAAACACTATCCCCAGTCAGGAGTGATGTGGAGAAACCAGGGAGTGTCAGTGGATGATAACAGAGAAGCAGAGCTGGTCTGATTTAGCTGGGTGAAGAGGAGGTGTCTGACAGCAGCCCACATTTCATCTAAGGGCAGTTATAGGTGATGGTGTCAAGCTCTTTTGGGCAGCATCAGATGATACAACGTGCAGCAATATCCACTTTGTGGCTCAGGAAGTTCAGGTTGGGCATTAGGAAAAGTTTCTTCTGCAGAGGGTGGTGCAGCCCTGCGAGAGGTCACTAAAGAGGTGACCTCTGTCCTTGGAGGGGTTCAAAGCCCAATTAAGCAAAGCACAGCTACTCTGATCTGGTATTGACAATAATCCTGCTCCCAACAAGAGATCGCGTAAGAACCCTTCCAAGCAGAACTTGTATGAAGTAATGTCTGTAACCCAGTCATAGCCAGAGAGTTTAGATGCCTCCAAACATTTCCCCTCAGCCACCTACGCCTCCTCGTCTCAGCCCAGGAATGACACTGACAGTGATGGAAATACAGTTTGTAACAGTCTCTTGCCACTGAAATCCATGTTTTCTGTCAATGCTGTATGTTCTTTTTCTAATATATTTTCCTGTTCTCTCTTAATGTTTGGCATTTCTTCCAGAAGAACATCAGGAAGGCTTGCAGATATTTAAGATATATATGGACTACTACCATTAGATCATCACCTGCTGGCAGGACAGTCCACCTTGGGGATGCTGAGGCTTGTGCTAAGCCCTGTGGGTTATGGAAATGCATGTATAGATGTAGTCAGTGACTATCTCCTCTGCATTTCTAGGGCTTGGATGCTGACCGAGCTGTGCTGCAGAAGATGAGGAAAGCAGCCAAGGCGGAGTACAGCTGTGGACAAGGTCAGGGCAGAATGGAGCCTCAGGAGGGGGGAGACACCAATGGATGGATGAGGGGAGTCCTTGCTGCAGGTTGGGTTGACCACAGCAGGGAATATGGGTCTTGGGGGTCCCTATAGCTGAGTGGTAGTGGTGGGGGCAGCAGGAGGCAACAAGAGCCAGCTCAGGTGTGTGAGCAGAACCGGGCGTGGTGACTCTGAGCAGGGAGGCAGGGGTTGGGCATTTATCCTGACCTTCCCCCTGCATTCACTCGAGCCCATCCACGTTTCCCCAGACCTCATCAGCCACCTCGAAGCCCACATTGCTGCACAGGAGAAGTTCTCAGCCAACTACCAGCTGGAGGGTGAGGAACAGCTGGCCAGTGCCTTTAACACCTTTGCTGCCTTCTCCCAGGAGCTGCTGACTGCCGTCAGGAGCCTGGTAGGCAGCTCTGTTCCCTGCATGTACATCAGAGTGGGGGCTCTGGTTTGCAAGGGGATGCTGGTGGGGGCCCCCAGGAAGAGCAGCAGGGCTCTGGGCCACAGCCTGGACGTCCAAGCTTATTCCTTTCCCCAGATGGAGGCAGGAGGCCATGGCATGTGGTTGCAGAGCCAGTGGTGCAGCCTGCATGGCTGGAGCCATCTGTGCAGATCTCTGAGGCTGCTCAGAAGAGGCCTCTGGAGGGCTCCTGTCCACCATCCTGCTTGAAGCTGGGTTCTCACCAACACTGACTCAGGCTGGCTGTGGTTTTTTCCATCCTGACAATTGCCAAGGATGGAGGCTTTCCAAAGTGGTTCCTCTGCAGGCTCACAAACAGCTCTGCTTTCTCTGCACAAGGAGTGGTGCAGGGGTGCAGTGCTAGCACCATGATTTCTCTCTTTCCTTTCTAGTGGCAGAGTTTGTACCACAACATTAACTTTTCCCTGGAGTCATTAATAAAGGGTGACATGAAAGAGCTCAAAGGGGTAAGCAGGGACTGAAAGAGATGCACTGAGGTGGGGCTGGTAAGTGGGTGGCTGGAGGCAAAGTGGGTACCAGCTGCAGGGGTCTCATCCCTGGCTCACGTCTTGCCCTCTGGCAGGGATAAGTGTTGGAAGGGCCGGTCTGCCTGCACCTCCTGTGTGCCAGATCCTGCTCCCTCCTGAGGCTGGCGCCTCACACCACAGGTCAAGATAGTGGTGCCCCTTAGCTGGGACCTCTGCCTGTTTGTAGGCATCTGGCTAAATCCAGAGGAGTCTGGTGGTATTCTCTATGTGGGGAAAAATCAGCGTGTTGTGCACCAAATATTGCTATCTTCCCTGGCCACCAAGTGCACAAACTCACCCACAACCTCCCAAGGAGGGGTGTGTGTGTCCCTCCCCTCTGCAGACCCACCTGTGGCTTTTGCATTTATGTGTGTGAGCACATGTATGTTGGTGTGAATCTGAGCGTGCATGTGTGCATCTACCAGCTGCAGGTTCCCCTCAGAGAAGGCAGAGTAGCAAGTACTGAAGTGACCACACAATTTGATCTTCAGCGCTGTAGACACATCAGAGAGCTTCACAGTGCTCATCAGTGTAGATTTTAGGAAAAGCATCAAAATCATATTTAGTTTTTGCTTTTTTTTGTTTTTTAAGCCATGGGGAGGTCCCTGGTGAGTAAGTCTGCACACACATTCCTACCACTAAGTCCCTGTGGCTGTACTCAGCCACTCAGCTCTGCACGATTCCTTCTGGGTGCCTCTGCTTGCATAGAGGTGCCTGTGCCTATGTTCGATGTGAGGAGGCTGGACTGATCCCGATCATGATGCTGCAGTGAGGTCACTGTCAAGGGATTGCTGCTCATAGCCTGCATCTAACGTGGTGGAGCAGCTGCCAGTTGTGACCTGGCACTGTTCCCCTCTGGGTGGTTTTGGGCACAGAGACTTTGCAAGCAGGGTATGTACAACTTGAAACAATAAACCAGTTATTCATTGGCTGATGCACACACAAGATTGTTAGGATTTAATGAGCCTGGTGTTCATACACTCAGCACCATGATGAGACACCTGAGGACTTGTGCTGGCCAGGCAGATGAGCCCTAGAGGAGCAGGGGCAGCACTGCTGCTCCCTGCAAGATTCTTGCTATTGGTCGTTGCTGTCTTCCACCAGACCTACTGATACGCTGACAAATCCCCTGTGTTTTCTTCTTTTAGGATTTTACATTTTTCTATTATACTATTTTTACTCTGTAATTTTACCTTTTTAATCTGGTACGGTTCCACTCCATAGATTTTTTTTTTTCCAGCTTTTTTGCCCAGCTCTGCTGTTTCATCAGGTGCTTGATGAAGGTTTTGCAGCTGGGCTATATCAGACCTGGGCTGGGGATCCTTGAGCAAACAGCTGGACCTCTGGAAAAGTGGAGGGAAAGTTTTGGACCGGATTGCAGAAAGAGGGATGGGAACCGTGGTGGGGTTTGTGGACTTCTGAAGGACTAATTGCCAAATACTGAAACAAATCATGAGCATTTAGGCATCCAATTGGAAGTTTGTCCTATACAGGAGCATGAAAGGAGAAGGAGAGAGCAAATTATGGAACTTCTGGTGTGAAGTAAATTGATAAAAGAATATAAAATACAAACGAAAAAAATCCACTATTTGCATTGTTAAGGATGACGTCAGGAAGACTGGGAACCAAGAAAACAGACAGAGAGAGAGGAAAAACCCCAGCTGCCAGCAAGGAGTCATGATTAAGCTGAAGGGATCCAACAGGAATCAGAGGCTGACATGAATCAGTTTGACATTTTCATTAGAATGGAGACAAATGCAAGATCTGTCCTGACAAGGTTCTGCCTTGCCATAAATAAAGAAATTTTACCTCAGGGGACAGAGGGGCATTGGGACAGAGAGGCTGTGGGATCTCTATCCTTGGGGTTTTTCAACATCTGCCTGCACAAAGCCTGGTCTGAATTCAGTGCTGTCCCTGTCTTGAGCAGGAGGTTAGACTAGAGGCCTCCTGAAGTCCCCTCCAACCTGATTTACTTTGTCTTTCTTTGACACAGAGGTTTGCAGAGCAGTAAGTGGTGAGAACAGGGCAGAACATGGGTGATCTGAGTAAATGCATTTATTGGACAAATGCAGATGAACATATCAAGGTGGTAATCACTGGAGAGAAGTCATGGAAAATCAAATGAGAAACAAATGATGGCTTTTTAGCAGCAAGACTAATTCACCATTAGAATCATAGAATCATAGAATGTTTTGGGTTGGAAGGGACCCCTAGAGGTCATCTAGTCCAACCCCGCTGCAGTGAGCAGGGACACTGCTAACTAGATCAGGTTGCTCAGAGCCCCGTCCAACCTGGTCTTGAATGCTTCTAGGGATGGGGCCTCCACTACCTCTCTGGGCAACCTGTTCCCGTGTTTTACCACCCTCATTGTAAAGAATTTCTTCCTTATATCTAGTCTAAACCTACCCTGGTTTAGTTTAAAACCATTACCCCTTGTCCTGTCACAGCTGGCCCTACTAAAAAGATTTTCCCAATCTTTCCTATAGGCCCCCTTTAGGTATTGAAAGGCCATAATCAGGTCTCCCCGCAGCCTTCTTTTTTCCAGGCTGAACAAGCCCAACTCTCTCAGCCTGTCCTCATAGGAGAGGTGCTCCAGCTCTCGGATCATTTTTGTAGCCCTCCTCTGGACCTGCTCCAACACTTCCAATGTCCTTCTTGTGCTGAGGGCTCCAGAGCTGGACACAGTACTCTAGGTGAGGTCTCACCAGAGCAGAGTAGAGGTGCAGAATCACCTCCCTCGACCTGCTGGCCACAATTAGATGAATACCTGGGGAAGAATCAGATTGTGCTGATGTTGCCAGGTTTGGGTGGGTTTCTGATGTCTTTCTGAGTGGTGTTTTGGTTAAACATGACATTCTGGCTTCAGCAGGTGAGGACCTGGTTGGTACTTTCTGGCTCGTGCATGTCTGAGCAATTCCTTCTGCCCTTAAAACTGTGTGTCTGTGGAAGGTGTTAGAGCTGGGTACTGCTATGTACATGCCTATGTGATGTACGTATGTATATGTTTTGGAGCCTATTGTATTTGCATGTGTGTGCGCAAGCATGTACCTGTGAGTGAACCTGCATTGATGAGCGTGCTTGTCCACTGTGCACTGAGGAGAGGCAAGGACCTTCCTGGGGAAGGACACCCCTGTAGACAGTCATGTCCTAGGTCTCCAAGGGCCTTTATGCTGGGGTGACCCAATGGAATCACAGTATGCTGAGGATGAGGAAGACTTTGTCCTGATCATAGTCATTAAATAGTGCCTTTCGCTCCTCCTAGGAGTTCAAGAAGCCCTTTGAGAAGGCCTGCAAAGACTATGAGAGTAAACTGTAAGTCTTCAGGCTCCCTCACCCCGAGGCCTGGACTTGAAGGCTGTTTTTTGTCTGCCTTCACCAGCAAGCAGTTGGATGGAGCATTTCATGTGTCTCTCCTCTTTCCTTGAGTGGCAAGATTGAGAAAGAGAAGCGTGAGCTGGCGAAGCAGCACGGCATGGTACGGAGCGAGGTGAGTGGTGGGGAGATTGCTGAGGAGATGGAGAAGGAGCGCAGGATTTTCCAGTTGAACATGTGTGAGGTAAGGCTTTTGCTGCGTGGCGTGGTGTTAGAGTCACTGAATCAGCATCGAAGGGATGAATTTCCCTTCCATTGGTGCACAGCAACTGTGCCACAGCCCCAGCAGAGCTCGGTCTGGAGCAGGCAGACATCAGCAGTGACTCACACTGGGGTTTCTCACTTTCCATCTGACCTGGGATTGTTTCAAAGCAGCTTTTTTGTCTGAATCCACACTGATTTTTCATTCAGGCCCGCCTTCTGTCCCTCATCAATGAGTGATGCTTGTGTCCAGGGTATTGCAGGTCCCTTTCTGCCTTTCTGGGATGCTGAAGTCCCCCAGGCTCTGCCTGGAGCACTGGCAGCATCCGGTAGCTCCCTCTGCTTGGCCCCTGGGGAGCAGCACCAAGGTAGGCTGCAGATCCCCAGGGACCATTGCTCAGCAGGTCACCTCCGTTGTGCCAATGAGACCCTGGGCATGTTTCCTCATCTGGCGAGCTGCCTGGGTTGTGGTAGGCTCAAGCCAACCTGGGGCAGGGGCTGATCAAAGAGTTTAGCCAAAGCTTGAGTTAACCTGACAGTAGAGATAACTTGGGAAAAATCCCACGAGGGCTTTGGATCCAAGCTTCTTCCTGACTGCATGTGGTGGGCGCCGCTGGCACTGAGGTCCCTGCTCCCTCTCAGACAGTCCCACCTCTGCTTCTTGGGATAAACTCAGCCCAACTCCCCTGCAAAGAGGATTTCCTGCTCCCACTGCCACACATCACAAGCAACAGCATGAGTAAAAGACTGGAAGATACAGAGCCAGTAGGTCGGGTGAAGGTTTCATTCTGTGCTGATGTGAGTCCACACGTAGCGTTTGGGGCCCTGAGAGGGTGTCTTCTAAGAAACACCTCTTCTGATGGATCAAGGGTGTTTTGAATAAACACAGGAAAGTCTGAGGTTGGCCATGCTGAACGTGTTTGGAAGGTGATTTACTATGTTGGCCTGTGGGTCTTCTGGAAATGGTTGTTTGCAGGTTACTGGTTTTACAGTAGTTGTAATGTTAGGAGAGCTGATTACTGGTGTAAGAATAGTCAGAGATGGATAGAAAAATACTCAACGTGTTTCACAGCATAACACACTGTTTCATATTGCCAGTCCACCAAATGAAAAGGCCAGTGTTTGTTTTCACAGGTGAGGTTGTTATGGTGGAGGATGGGCTGGGTGAGGTGGCAGATAAGTTTGGGCTGGAAATCTGAACCTTCAGCTCACTTCTGAAGGTCCTCAAGGCAGGCTGAGATGCCAGCTGCACATAGGATATAGGCAGGCAGCACTGACGTTGTGGGTCGGGTCGGGTGGAGGTGGTGCAGTTTGTGCATCAAGTCTAGGGGGTTTTTGAGGAACTTGGCTCTTGAGTGACAAGGTTTGAAGGTTTATAGGAAAGCTGGATGTTCTTCAGTGAAGGCACCATGAATGGTGAACCTTTGAGGGTTTATTAACGGAGTGTTTGCCCTGCATAAGTAAAGCCCAGCAAGCCCAGGGTCCAATGCCACCACTGTGGGTCCACCACTCTGTTGGCCAGATCAAAGTGCTGGCCCTGCTTGCCACCATCTTCTCACCCCATAAAAGCCACAGGAGCTTTTGACTGACAGAATGGGCCACAACACTCTGGGAGAAGGGGCCAGCAAAAAGTGCATAAAAGGCATTTCTTTCTAAGCTACAAATTCAGACACTGTGTCCTTTTCCCTTCAGTATCTAATCAAAGTGAATGAGATCAAAACTAAGAAAGGAATTGACCTACTGCAAAACCACATCAAGCACTGCAGCTCACAGTTCAAGTAAGAGCGACCGGTAGCCTATCTGCATACCTTTTCTCTCCAGAAGCACTGGCTGTAGAGGGGACCCGAGCGTGGCTTATCTTGCAGGACCCTATTTCCTGCAGTTGGCTTGGTCTGCCCTGTAACTTGCCAAAAGTCCTTTTCTCCTGGAGGCAGTGGAGGCAAAGATCTCAATGGGGTGTGTTTCCTCTCTTTAGGCTGACATTTTTATAAGCTAGTGTAAAGCAGAAATCTGGGATACAAAGATGACAGAGTGCTGAGCACTCTCCCTGAATTTAAATGCCTCCAAATCTTTCTAAAATACATATCCTGAGAAAGATTTTTTTTTTTCAACTATGAAGCAAAAGCACTGCCTGCTGAAGGCATGATGGGCTCTGTGGCAAGAGCTCAGGGGAGCCTTGGGTCTATAGGCTTCACAGCCAGTGCTAAGAACAGGGTTTCAGGACATGCCCTTACATTAGCTTCTCCTCTCAGTTTTTTCCAGGAATGTTTAAACACAACAGCAAAACTTAAGGAGTTTACAGAGAAACTCATCCCGGAGCTGCAGAGTGTGAGTATTCATCTGAAGTTGGGTGCAGCGAGTAGGAGCAGGCTGGAGAGCAGGGGTGTCTTCCCCAGAGCCTCCTCTTCCTCTGCAGAAGCAGAACTGAGGACTTGCAGCTCTTCACATCTATTAATCATTATTTTCTGATCCTCTGATGTGCAGTGGCCCATGGAGGGGTGAAATGTAGCCATCGCTGTGAGTGGGAAAGTTACAGTACCGTACCCCAGGACGCAGTGTAAGAAGAACAAGAATAGACATGGGTACCAGGGAGGCACTAACATGGCCATCTGCCAAAGCTGCTGCTTTGCAGAATTCCAAAGTTTTCATTTGTGCTCTTAGCTTTTCAAGCCTGTTGCTGCCAACTCAAGCTCTTAATGCATTTTCTCGGGGGCTTTGTTTTGCTATAGAGGCAGGTCATGTAAGCCTTGTGAACTTTAGCTTTTGACTTTGGGCTCTGTCAATCATACACAGCCCGGAGACAGAAAGGAGTTTTTCCAGGTGGCAAGGCTTTCAGAGACAGGCTGAGCACTCATATCCCTGGTGGTACGATGTCCTCCAAGTGTAGCAGAGGGTTTATGTTGGTTTCCCAGCATTTCCAGACCTCTGCTCCAGTTTGCTTGGGATTGCTCATCCATACCTCCTCGCAAGTCAAGATTTGCAGAGGCTTGCAATATGGTCTCCCTCTATGTCTCTCAGAGAGACAGGGTTTAGTGGTGGACAAGTACAGTTGGGCTCGATGATCTTAAAGGTCTTTTCCAACCAAATGGTTGGAAAACATCTGTGATTCTATGGTCGTCACCCAGATACAGTGTCAGCATCACTTGTACTCGTCTCCCCAGTCCTGTAGTGCATGTCTTCTCTGGGCATCTGCTGATTTGCTTGAATTAATCTGCTTTAGGTGTGTTACCCTGCTTGTTCCACAATTTGCAATCATTAATTATGTAAGCAATAAAAAGAGGGGAAGCGCCACCCCAGAGCAGGGTAACCAAGCACAGCAGGTAGTGTCTTATGGATTCCTCATGCAGACAAACCCCCAGGCTCCATTTCAGGGCCACATTCCTGTGCCAAAGTCCATCAACTTTTTGATGGCTTGGAGACCTCTTACTTATTTTAATTACTGACACTACCAAGGGAAAGAAAAATAACCACCACAGTGACCTTCAGGCTGCTAGTTGTTTTTGCACTGTGGAAAGCTGCAAACAGCTGTTTCCTCAGTAAGATGCAGACTGCTCTACTGTGGTCTCGTGTTGCAGGATTCCCGGTGCTGGGGACATGGCTGTTCCCTCCCCTCAACAAGGTTTCCACTGAAGTGGTTTTTGCACATGCCACATACTGGGCACTGCAGGGGATGAGTGGCAACCTCCCACTGTAGGAATGGGGCTCGGTGCATCCCACGGATGCAGGGAGGCAGCAAGGGCAGGGGGTGGCATGGGGGCATCTCTGTTGTGCCCGGAAGGAGTGGGATGCCACAGCTAAGGCAGGACCCTCCTGCTGCCATGTGAGCAGCTCACTGTGCTCCGGCACCTTTCAGATGAAGGTCAAGCAAGACGAAGAGAAGAAGCAGCTCTGCTCCCTTCGGGATCAGCTGAAAACAGCATTGCAGCTGGATCAGAAAGAGGTAAAGTCTGATCCTTCTTGTGAAGAAACAGGGGGTGGTGCCTGTAGAAGGCATGGCATGGCAGCTGCTTATATAGTGCCTGCCTGCCAATGCAGAAAGCCATGGGGTTTCTGGTGAGCTCTGGGGGAGCACAGGGTCCCTAGCAGCCCTGTGAGGGAATGGTCTTGGTTGCCAGCAGTACTGATGGCGTAGGGCCTCGCTGCTATTTCTTTCCTTCTGCCAGGATCCTGGGAACAAGCAGGCAGGGTACAACATGCATCAGCTGCAAGGGAACAAGCAGTATGGCACAGAGAAGTCGGGGACACTCTCCAAGAGAAGTGATGGGTAAGTTGGGATCTAACATTCCCTTTTCAGTTGTGCTTTGATGACTTGGGGCTAGAGCAGGACTCACCCAGACCAACCTACTCTTGCTGGGGTGGCCTCAAGGCAGAGGAACAGGACAAGCACGCATGAAGGTGTGCTCGACACTGTCCCAGCCTCCAGCAGCTTTCAACAGAGAGCTCCAGGCAACTTGTGTCTATTTTTTAGCTTTAAGGGCATTCCTCTCCTGTGAAGCTGCCCAATACCATCTCAAGTCCTGCAATCATTGAGGGCAAGGACCCCTGCACCCACCATGGGAAGCCAGAAACAGCTTCCCGTCTTTCCTTCCAGTAGGGATTCCACTGCCTTCATCCAACACCCCACAGTCTTGTGCTGAGAGGGACAGGAAAGGGTTGGTGTCTCTCCCCATCTCCCAGGCACTCATTGCTTTCCGGAATCCCCTCCATTGCCTCTGCTTCAGATGGAAGATGCTCAGGGGTGCATGGGGGATTTACATACATACGGTCCTGGTGATGTCTTATGCTCTCTTCTCTATTCCCCTCCTCCCCAGCCCTGACCTGTCCTTTCAGACCCCTCTGCCCTCACAGTTCAGTACTGGGCTCAGCTCCCTGACTGTGGGAATTAGGGGAAGGAGCAGAAATGTGGACACAGCAAGGGTCAGTGCTGCCTTGGAGATGGCATCTTGGGCCGGAGGGGAGAGAGCCAGCAGCCATCCTGTACCCCTCTCCCAGGAGCCATACGCTGAGCTCCTGGAAGGCACTCCACTGTCTTTGGAAAAAGGACCATCATCATCATGGGAGGATGTTTGCTTGCTTTGAATCACAGGGGTCCTGTGCTGGAGACTTGCACACCTGGAAAGGGCTGTGAAGTGTCCTAGAAAAACCTGAAACGGGGTAGAAAATAATGAACTAGGGCTCAGGAGTCTCCTTCAATGCAGACAGAAGTTCAGGGTCTCTCCACTTTTGGGTGTATCTCTTTCACCTTTCCCCTGTGTTACAGTCTGCCCCGAATAGCAGGCACAGCCTGGGAGCAGTTTGGAGGTGATGGTGTTTGATGTTTTCTGCAAAGGGCTTTGTGCTCCGCTAGCAGGTCCTGTTGCCCCGATTGATGCTCTGTGCCTGTATCACCTGCACAGCAGCTGTGCTGCCTGTCTGTACAAGCCTGTCATGCAATATGATGGTTCCTTCTCAGCCCAGAACAGACCAAGAGTGACAGACCCTGTGGCAGCCCAGCTGGCATGTCTGATGAGAGCTGTGGCCCCGTGCAGTGCCTTGCATGGCTCTTGCATTTGCTAGCACTGTGCGGCATTGTATGTCTGCTCCTCCTCATGAGTGTCCTCTTGGTTCACACTCTGCTCATTTCCAGGTTGAGAAAAGTCTGGCAGAAGAGGAAATGCACCATCAGCAATGGCTACCTGACCATCTCTCACAGCATGGTAAGAACCACTTCTCCCACTTTGCTCTGCTCCTGTCTGGGAGCTGCTGGCCTGCCCCTGCAGGGTCCATAGAGCCTGCCACTGACAGACGTGCTGGCAGCTTCCTGGGGCTCATCAGAACCCTCGTGCCTGCTGCTTGCCCTGCTGGGCTGCCCTGGCATAGGAGGCTTTCTATTGAGACTTGAGTCCCTGCAACCCAAGAGAGTTTTAAACAAACACAGGAGGTCCAGGTGTGCCTGTGTGCAGGGAGGGGCACGAGCCTGGGGACCTAGCTCCAAACCTGGGGTGGCTATTGTGAAAGAAAAGGTCCATGTTGATATTTCTTGCATTGCTCCTGAGAGTGGAGCCAAAGACAAAGTGCTGGGCACAAGGCAGATCCATGGCTCTGCCTCCAGAGCCAGGCAGTGCTTGTTACTCCTGGACCACAGCCCTTTGATGCTTCCTCGTTCTGCTTGCAGCCCAACCGCCCACCAGCCAAGCTGAATTTACTGACCTGCCAGGTGAAGCCGAACATGGATGACAAGAAATGCTTCGATCTGGTTTCCCGTGAGTGCTGGTGCCTGCCCTGCAGTTCCTCTGGGAAAGGGCCAGACAGGCAGCAGTGCTTTGGACTCAGACCGACAGCGCAGGCAGGGATGAGGGGAAGCTCTGCAGCTTTAGGCCAGCTTGGGGGGATTACCCTGGGTTAATTGTGCCAGGAGGCAGCTCTTCTCAGGAGCAGTGATGCACACACAGGGTGTGAGATAGGCAGCCCTGCCGTGGGGCAGTGTGCACTGCATGGGCACTACGCAAGTGTAGTGCAAGCAGCTTAGCTAACACCAGCATCCCTTGTTCCTGGTACAGGCACAGGTAGGTCCCTTCACCTGGGGTGCACTGGGGAGGGGCTGAGTGAGACAGAGGTGACTGTCACCCCAGCTGCCTGGGCTGGAGATTGCTCCTGGCTCTGCTGAGCCCAGCTCAGGCACGTTGTGCGCTGAAGGGAGCCTGGCAGGTGAGGTGGACGAGCAGGGTACCTAGAGGAGACTGGCTCTGTATGTTTCAGACAACCGCACGTACCGCTTCCTGGCAGAGGACGAGCAAGACTGTATTGCGTAAGTACTGCCAGTGCCTCGCTGCAGACCAAAAAATGCTCCACTGGCTGCCAATGAGGAGCAAGCATTTTGGCTCATTAGGCAGCATGCCGCAGCCCCTTCCCATCCTAACTATGTCCTAGTCACTCTGGGGGCGCTGGCTGGCTGCAAGCAGGGCATGGAGCTTGATGGAGGCTCCTGGTACAGTTTTCTGCTGAGGTCTCATGCAGGACCTTTGTGTGTGGTGGCTGCTGTGCAGGCTGGGGCAGAGCAGGATCTCCCCCACAGCAGTGGGATGAGCCCTGCTGCCCTCCTCACCCTGCAGCCTGAGCATGGCCGCACAGGACCTTGCTCCTCAGCTGCTTTCTGCCCGTGCAGCTGGGTGTCCGTCCTCAGCAACAGCAAGGAGGAGGCGCTGAACGTGGCATTCAGCAAGGCACAGGGCAGAGAGAAGAGTAGCCGGGAGGAGCTGATCCAAGCCATCATCGAGGAGGTCAGAGGCATGCCTGGAAACAGGGAGTGCTGCGACTGCTCTGCCCCAGGTGAGGGCCTGCCCCTGGCCATGAGGCCGCCATAATTCCTCTTTGCTGGACAGGCAGAGCTCTGCCCTGCCTTCTGTGGCATCCAGCCCCTGGAGACCCCCAGGCATCTGCAGTCTTGCCTTTCCCCTCTGTCTTGCTGTGGAGCTTGTGCCCTGGGGTAGTGGGGGGCCAGTGGGATGGAGAGGCAGGAGATGCGCATGAGCCTGGCAGTCTTGTCTCTGCAGATCCCACTTGGCTCTCCATTAACTTGGGCATCCTGATCTGCATAGAATGCTCTGGGATTCACAGAGAGATGGGTGTGCATCTCTCCCGCATCCAGTCGCTGTCGCTGGACAAGCTGGCAACCTCCGAATTGCTGGTAGGACACTGCTGGTGCGCTCTGTCATCAAGCTTCCCCCTGCTTCTGCTGTGGCCTTTCTGAAACTAAAAGTTAATTTGGTGTGTTTTTCACCTGTTAAAACTGACCCATACCCCCCTGTAATTCCCAGGTTATCGTGGCAGGAATTGTCATCTTCAAGGAGGAGAGAGGGGGAGTAATTTTGCTGTTGCTGGGTCACCTGTCTCCCTCAGCCCCCTTTCCCCACCTGCGTCCCCTGGTGCAGGAGAGCTGTGGGGCAAGGCCAAGCTTGAACTGGGGTAGAGCAGAGTGTGGGGCGGGAAGGGGGTTGGAGACCTTGCATGGGGCTGTTTTAGGTGGGCATCAGGACAGAGGATGGCAGTGTTTGGCAGGGATCATTGCTTGCCCAGATCTGAGCCCAGGGGTCAGCTCTGGGGTTGGTTGCACCGATGGAGTTGGGAATCTTGGCAGTAGGAGTCAGGGCAGAGTCTCTGGCCATTGCACACACACATCCTTGCACCCCTTGACATCCCCTCAATACCTGGTCAGGATCTCAGCCTGGAGCTCCCTCTCCTGCTGCCTTGCATGTAGAGCTGCTGCATGTCCCATGTTACCTCTTGGCTGTTTCGCAGCTGGCGAGGAATATTGGCAACTCTGGCTTCAATGCCATCGTGGAAGCAAATCTCCCCAGCTTTTCCTTGAAGCCCACAGTGCGCAGTGACATGTGAGTTGCTCTGCAAGAGCTGTTTATTTGTGGGAGGCTACATACAGGGTCCTCGCCCATGGGCACACACTCTACAGTCCTGCAGTGATCAGGCACATGGCACTGCCTCATCTCCACAGACTGTAACTTCTCTTTAGAAGAAATTTCATAAAGTCCCGCAGGAAAGGTTTGATAAAGGAGAGAAGAAGAGTGAGGAAGAGCCAGCATGACAGCTCAAGGACTGGCCTTGAGGTCAGAACAGGGACTGAGGCATTGGTTCTGAAAAGGGAAAGGCAAGGAGAGAAATAAGCGGAGCTGCCAAGCAGGGTAGTCCTGGCTGTACATCAGCAGGGCAAGGAAGGGCAGGAGGATGGAGTGGGACAGGGGACAGGGACGTGTGCAGTGCAGAGCAGTTCACTGTGTCCAGTGGCTGGGATCAGTGTAGGCATTGAGCAAAGAACTGCTAAGGATGCAGGAACCCCTGTCCTTCATCCTGGAGTGCCCCAGCCTCTAGGCTCTGCAGAGGACAGGGGACAGCTGGGGTGGCATGGCTGGCACCAGCAATAGCTGGGAGCTTCTCCAGGGCTTAGTGCCATAAACCTGGGGTGCAACAGAGCTCTTGGGGGGGAACATATAACTGGGGAGCTTATTGTCAGGGTCTGAGGGGACTTTCAGGATACTGGAGAGCAGGCAGACCAGGCATGATCAGGTTCCATTACAGGCATATAAGTCCTGACTAGGGCACTGTTTAGACAATGTGGACCTACCCTGCAGTGAATAGGTGGACAAGAAACTGCACTTGGCAGGGAGAGAGCAGCAGAGAGCTGGGAGAGCAGGAAAATACAGCTGGAACAGCACGGTCAAGGTTGCCAGATCCACCCTTCTGCTTGGATGCTGAGGAAACTGAAACTGCATTAAATTAATAATTCAGCTCTTCCTGAATGGCCTTTTCTGTTTGGAGCACTCCTTCACCCCTGGGGCACCTGTGGCCACCCCAGATCCTCTGGCTGGTCACCACTTCTGCTGTTCCTGACCTTTCCAGAGGTAGAGACCCAGCTTACTCGACCAGTCCTTGCCTGGAAGCTGTTCCTGACCCGTTAATGCTCTCGGCCAGTTCACACCATGTGTTTCCCAGTCCTTGAGATTTCTGCTCCTTCCTCTAATTCTTGCAGCTGAGCCCAGTACTGAACTGTGAGGGCAGAGGGGTCTGAAAGGCAAAGGACAGGTCAGGGCTGGGGAGAAAGAGAAGTGACTGGAGAGCAGAAAATATCACCAGGACCATATGTATATAAATCCCCAGTGCCACCCGTGAGTGTGTCCCACCCAGGAAGGGTGGAGGGGTCAGGGCTCCTCATCCCGGAGCAGAAGTGATGGAGGGGGTTCTGGAAAGCAGCGAGTGCCTGGGGGAGGGGAAGAGACACCAACCCTTTCCTGTTCCTCCCAGCACAAGACTGTGGGGTGTTGGATGAAGGTGGTGGAATCCCTACTGTAAGGAGAGACAGGAAGCTGTTTCTGGCTTCCCGTGGTGGGTGCAGGGGTCCTCACCCCCGGTCACGGCAGTGCTCGCACTTTAAATGCATGAAAGTCAAGTTCTCTTTTAATTATATAACTGCAGGAGAGGAAGCTTTAAGAAAACCACAGTGTTTTGTAAGAGTTATTATGAATGTTGCTGCTGCAGAGGACTTTGGGGAATGGGACAGGGACAGCAGAAAGGTGCTAAACTGCCTGGCAGGTCTGAAGGAGAAAGAAAGAAGGTGGCTGGGGCAGTGGGAGAGGAGGGGGGTGGCCCCAGGATGCTCACTGCATCGCTCTGTGGCCCCTAACTCTCATTTGGCTGGTCTCTGCCAGGGCCTTTCGGAAAAATTTCATCATTTCCAAGTACATTGAGAAGAAATATGCCAAGAGGAGTCCTTCTGCTCAGTGCTCCAGCCTCCCAGAAGCTGTCAAGGGCAAGGACATATTTTCTTTGCTCCAAGCGTATGCGGAGAACGTGGATTTGAGCGAGCCTGTGCTGGCACCTCTGCAGGTACAGCCACTCGTCCTGTGGGTCCGTATGGCAAATAGCTTTGCCATCACCTCTCCAGCACAGTGCTTTCTGTGAGCCGGGAGCAACAGGCAGGCTCAAGCAGAGTGAGGAACATCATGGCAGAGGGAGGTTTTCTGGCTGCAACCCCACAGCCCTCCTTGTGCTGTGTGTGGCGGAGCCAGAAGTCATAAGCACAAGCCCAAGGCTTTCCAAAGGCCAATTTGTAACTGAGATTTACTTGTAAACTTCTGAGCAGATTGTCTTGGGACATCCAAGTCTCACTGTAGGCTGAAAAATCAGGGCAGCATTTTTTCCTGCAAACTGCAGCATGGGTCCTTGCTGTAATTGTAAGAAGAGAGTGCAGCCCTAACACTTGGAGCTGCAGGCATGCTACCAAGCCACCCCCTTTGCCAGCAAGGACATCTGTGGGTGTCCTCCAGAGCAAAAGTGAAGGAGCAAAATGCTGCAGTGAGCAGGAAGTACCAGCAGTATGGGATGTCTTGGGACAAACTGCCAAGTGAGAAACAGCTCTGTGGGGAGCAGCCATTGGCACACCCCAGGGCTCTGATGAGATTGTGGACTCGACAAAATTCAGCCACTGGCCTGGGGAGAAAAGTCACCTTTGGTTCCCTCAGTTTCTAAATGTGAAATGATTGATTGATGATAGATTCTTCTTCGTGAAGCCATGAGCCATGGCTCTACAAGTTAACTAGGTTCTCACCAGCACTGGTGGTCATGACTCTGAAGAGACAGTCAAACCTGTTCATCTCTCAGGGATTTTAAATGTGTAAGGACAATCCCTAAAGGACAGTGCTCCTGTCTGTGGTGGTGGTGCAGGCAGACACAGCCTCATCTTTGCTGTATTTTTCTTCTTTACAGGAACCTGGGGAAACCATTCTCCACCTGGCAGTGCTGTTGTCTGATCGAACCTCTTTGCATATCGTTGATTTTCTTGTCCAGAACAGGTAAGCTCATGACACCCAGTCAGCTTGTCATAGCTAAGCCGTACTAGTGAAAGGTGCAAGACTGATGATCTTATCCAAAATGCTCCCCACAAAAAGAGAAAAATCACCAGGGCAGGCCTCCCAGAAAATGTGCCTTGGGCTGGGCTTCGGGTAACTACCCCTATCTAGGGGTACCTTGGGGTCCCTCGCCTCCTCTGGGTGTGACAGTGGTGGAGACCACTTCTTTGGGTGAGGTGGGAAGGAGGACACATGTGCCAGCATCAGTGTTTGCTGTGGCTAGGGCTGGTGGCTCTTCCTGGAGATGCTGACATTATCCACCCTCTGCTGCAGTGGGAGCCTGGCAAAGCAGACAGCAGGGGGGAACACGCCGCTTCACTACTGCTGCTCTCACAACAAACCCGAGTGTGTCAAGCTGCTGCTGAAGGCCAAAGCCAACATCGCCATCAGTGAGTGGCTGTGGGATCCCCCACCCCGTGCACACATGGAAACACCTCCCTAGCCTTGCTGAAGAGCTCAGCCATGCTTGTCTGCCACTGGGGAGGGGCAGGTTGATGATGATGTTGGGTGAGGACCCTGCCTGCAGGATGACAGCATCAGCCCCAGGCTCTTCTCTCCATGTCCAGCAAGGTGTCCTGCTCTGACACAGCTCTTGGTTGGCTCTCCAGGCTCAGCAGAACTCACAAGCCAGTGTGGGGTGCACGTGGTCCTCCGCAAGTGGGGTGACCACATCTCATAGGTTCCTGCTCTCGGCACCCTGGGACAGAAGCAGTGGCTTTGCTGTCCAGCTTGGAGCAGGGGCTGCTCCTTTCTGCTCCCCAAGGGAGGAACCAGCTTGCTCTGGGCATGCTCCTGATCCCAGGGAGCTCATGCCTCTGCCCCGATTCACTGGTCCCCCTCCCAGGTGGGCAGCCACAGGGCTGCCTGTG